GACCCCCACTTTGAGACGTTCAGCCCGCAGAGCTACCTGCCGAGGTCCAATTGGGACAGCAAGACAGGGGTACAGCATGGCTAAGCTGAACCCTGGGTTGAATGAGATAAACTGCAACTGTGTCAAGGCCAACTATCCCACCAAACCTTTGGGGGTAGTGGTTGGGGGTATGTAGTGGCACGCATCTTAGATATTAGGTTCTGCAAGCCCATGTCTTGCACCCGTTGCCGCCTCTGCAAGCAGAGCCCGCGCAACGACTGAGTCCGGCTTGTCGCACGGCGGCGTCCTCAAACATTGAAGATTGAAGCCCCCTTGATTCTTCTCCCGTAAGTACTCACTTGGGAGTAAGACGAGCTCTCCGGGCTTGTGGCCTGTAAAGTCTTGCAGGCTATTCCCAACGCTGAGTCCTTTGAAGCATTGTATCCTGTTTTTCCCCCGACTGTCTAATTTTGACCAGTTCAGGAGTGTGCCCACAGCTTGAAGTGTTTCGCACGACGTCCGACTGATCCAAGCCGTTTCACGATGAAGCCATGGTTTTAGCCTCCTTTTGGGAACCCCCATTTGCATTTCCCCCCTCCCCGTTAGTTTTTTCCAAAATGCAATGCCTGCTCAACCCCTCGCCTAATCTAACACGGTCCGAATTACAGGCATTGTTTTCCCATGATGAAGTAAGTAACTAGGTCTTCCTTGTGGCCCACAACACCAATGTGTTCTTGATACGTGGGACGTTCCATGGCACTCGGCTTCGGCCGAAACCGTCAGGCCTACGCGCTGGTGGAGTAGCGAGCGAGAAATCGAGCGCCGGCCTGGGGTATTGTTTTAAGCATATGCAGTCCACTTGGGAACCCAAACGAGGCTAGAAAAATCGGTGGGCTCGACATGAGCCAGCTAGAATGGGAACGCAGAGTTGTCAGTTATTCTTCTGGCCAAAGGAGGTTTGAGCCAAGTTTGGAAGGTCCAAGTACGCCCTGCTGGCTGTATTATTTGATGAAGTGGGATCAATCACATTGCTTTCAGGGAGCGAGCATGGTCACGATGGACCTTGGCAGAGCCATTTACTAAAGTGATGTCGGGGGAATCTAACTCACGCAAGTGCAATGGACAGTGGGAATGCAAGCCCCTCCAAGTTCCCGTGTCAACCGGGAACACAATGAATATATGAGTTTGTCGAAATAAGGGGCGCCTTCAAACATTTCGGTTTCCCTTGAATTTAGCCTCAACCGGGCACTCTCAAAACCACGCATGTTGACTGTAGCAGCCGCTCTGCTCTTGCGCCGCAGGGCGGATCTAGCGAGAAGTACTTGGCGAGGCGGGAAAGTTCATCGCTTGCTCGAAACGCCTGGACTAAAAGAGTATCAAACAGGGGGGAAGAACGGGTGGGATCCACAAAAACGCATCACATTCAGCGCATCCGAAGGGTTTGGGCTCGACAAGCCGTAAGGCCAATCGATTCAACCTGGGCTTTCCCTTAGCACTTGTTTCGAGCTGACAATGGGTTAGTCGGTGCTGGCTGTCTGGTTGGCTGGCTACAAAGAGATACAAGCTATACACTCTGGGGCAGACATATTGCAGTGAGGATTGTCCTGTGCATTTTGGAAGGACGGATGCGCGTTGCGCGAATGCTGCTTGACCCATTGAGCACTTGATTAGTGTGCGTGCCAGCTCGAAGCAGCAACCGGCGGTTTTGTTGGGTTTGGTTGCGGCCGTTCTGCGGTCGGTTTGCCTTAGCACAAGGGATTGAAGATGATCACAAGTCGCCATGCGGAGACGACAACTCCATGACTCCATGCTTTGCCATTCGAGGCTTGGACCATGCGCAGAGTCCGCAATGTGGTCCACAATAGGCAATCAGAGCCGGAGCGGCGCAAAAGAAGAGAGAGGCCTCCGGAGACAAAGGTAGGCACGGCCATTTGGATTTCCAAAAGCTGCGAATTGGAATCGGAAGGCCCAGTCCACCGAGTCCGGTCTTTGAGGCTCGCGCGCGAGAGATGGGAGGTTGACGCGACTGGAGAGCTGCTTCCATATGCTGGTTTCGGTTTCTTCGGTGTTTCTTCAACACCGACCTGTCACTTTTTGACCTTGTCGTTTGTGGTGTTTTGAGTCAAGGTCCATGGTGTAGCGTTGGTTTGCAACTTGGCGCAACTGAGATTTTTATACCCGACGCATACTGACTAGCATTGTGCCATGGACTTTCACATCATTGCTTTTTTATCAGGGTTTTTGACCGGCTCAGAGGTTATTCTCACCTGTCCCTGTCTTCCAGTCACTCTCGGAACAACGGCAGCAGTCCAGATTGCAAGGAGGGTTCCTTTTGGAGCAAAGGGGAAGGCTACAGACCATGTACCCGGCTTGACAAGGCAAGCGCTGGTACAGTACATTCTGGGTTCGAGAGATGCCGGGAGCTGTTTGTAGCTTCTTGCCACCATTTGGAGGGTAAGGTTGCAAACACTGGGGTGATATGTGAGATACCCTGTTTTATTGTCCAAGTGTCTCGTTACTTTCGGAATTGACCGGATGTCCAACATTACTCTTGGACATATTCCACAGGGTAGTCCTTGTCGCGGACTTTTTCTCCAAGGTGTTCTGAACTCTTCAGGTGCAAAGCCTTGCCCAACGTAAAGAGGAGACATGTTGAGAAACTGTCTTCATGCTGCGGACAATCCGGTGTTTCTATGTAACCTTCTGCCATCATGCACGTATCTCCCCAGACAGGGCATCTATAACCTTTTCAAATTGGTCTGGTAGCCTTGGAGCTGCAAGGGTGATGATCACACTGACGTTGGCCGGAATATCCAGGTCCTTCGAAACGCGTTGGTATTGCATGCCTTTGTTGAGAGTACCCCGAACAGGACGGTTTCAAAGGACAATCAGGAGACCAATCATTTGTAGGGTAACCAAAAGGAGGCTGCTTCGGCCTCCGGTAGTCCTGTGAAAACAGTATACATCGCCTATCTGTTAAGTGCTTGCCCCATGATGATCATGGCGACAAATGAGAATGTGCCGACGTAGAGAGCCCTACTTGGATGGTCTGGGAGGCTTCCATTGTCGAAGAATTCGCTGTTCAGGTTTTGCCATTTGTTTCCAGGGCTCCTTTGTAGCCTACCCAAAAGGGCTGGATGATGATGCGTTGAGAAACGAGGCCCATGCTGCGAGCCAATTGGCAATGGTTGGAACCCATCCCCGGAACTGTCTGCATTTCGCAGGCCGATAGCTCCGCGGAGAAGAGTTTTCTGTCTGAAAAGGCGCAGGGGCTGGCTGACGGCCTGGCTGGCTGGGACGCGTTCGGTGAAAGCGAGCTTATGATGTGTTATGTTTCGCTGCTCTGGGGTTGAAGCAGCCAAGCAACTGGGCTTAGATTGAAAGTTGGATGAATCCCTGCCTCCTAGTTTGATAGCTAGGCCTTTGTCTGCAGTCATTTACTGTTTGCAGGTCTCTCCCAAGCTTTAAGCCCTTCAGCGCTCTTTACAGCTCAAAGGCAAACCACAGAGGCGCATCGCCGCAGCGTAAATGGGCCTGCCCCTTTTTGACGCCCCTGTTGGATACGAAGGGAAGCCTCAAGGAAAGAATTTGTTGGGTGCAATTTTGAGAGAAACCCAACTGTTTGGTGGGGCATGAACAGCCAAGGGCTTTGATTAGTCTAGGGATTTACGTTGAACCACAGCTCGGAAGCTTTGGTTGAACATAAGATGTCTCTTCGACGTAAGTCACAGTCAGTTTTGCCTTTCCGCCCCCAGTTATTGGGAGCATTGGAGTCTGGTAATGGGCATGATGGACACGCATGGGCGCATAAAAAGAAGAAGCATTTGCAGAGTTGTTTGCGTGACGGGCTTTTTGTCTAAAGGTGCGCTTCTAGCGCGATGAGCTCAGTGTTAAGCAGCTTGCACATCAACCTATATGCACAAGCTGCACATGCTATATTTGATGGTTCCCTTTGTTCACTTTAGTTGTTGCAGTGATGAAACTTTCGGCAACAACTGTGCCACAATCAAGCCTGCGCTGTTGTTGACGCCAAGCTGCGCAGCACACGAGTCAGATCGTATATTCCCAATGTTTGTGGTGTTCAATAATTGCTTATGCTAACAGAGAGGTATTTGCGTAGAATGGCACGTGCACTATCATGCAAAATTCACATAACCTCAAGGCCTATCAACCGGTCGGTAATTTAGGAACCTGCTATTCGGCAAAAAAGTTACTGTAAAGACAGCTTTCAAGGGTAGGAGGCCAAATCAAAACCAGTGCACGACTGCTGACAAAAGGATCCACACAAACGCCTCTCCTCTTAGCATGGCGGGGGTCTTACATCGGGCCTGCTGTGAGAGGCCTTTAAAAGCTTAAGGGAGAAGTTGCATTGATCGCAGAAAGGGAGAACTCTGATTTGGGTTTGTCCCCAAATAGGGGACCACGCAAGGCGGTTTCCGTTTGATTTCCCCTTGAAGCAAGCCCAAAAGGATACCATGAAGACAAGACAAGCCCATGCGCACCACTTCCCAGCGGAATTCCATTCGCCAGGGCGTTTCGCCTTTGCCCGACGGGCCCGCCCCTCATGGCAAGCTCACCCGGGGGTCGGCAAGTTCAGCCACAATTAAAACCCGGGTAGATGAAGGTTCGCAATCCCAAGGAATGGTTGCGGCCACCCAAAGTGAATTCTGTGTTTGTTTGGGCATGCCATTTTATGAGCAGATGTGGCTTATGACTCGCTTGTGAGGGATCCTCTGTTGAGGCTTCTGAGTTCAGAGTTGGGAGTTGTTTGTTCTTGGATCGTTTGCAGAATGCAACAAGCATTGTGATGAGTTCGATCAACGCACAAGGGGCTTCATGTTTGCAGCTTGTCTTTCTGTTAGAACACGTCAATGCAATCCTCGGCAGGGAAGGACTGGTCAGCCGTTTGACTCTAGCATCATAGACCAGTGGTCGTGGTCAGCCATGGTCATGTGGTGGGTTTGGTGGCCCCAGGTTGGTTTAGGGTTGGTCTGGGGTGGGTTTTGGGCTGATGTGGGGTGGGTTTTGCGTTGATGTGGGGCGGGCTAGGGCTTAGGCTGGGTTTGGTTTGAGTTGGGTTTGAGGGTTGGTTTGGGTTTGATTAGGGCTGTCTCAGGGGTAATTTGGACGGGTTTAGGAGCGGCTTAGGGTGTGTTAAGTCGTGGTGTCAAATTCATTTGAAGGTTGGTGTTGGGTGTGTTTAGGGTTGCTTTTTGGTTAGTTCAGGTGGGTTGAGGCTTTGGACGGAGTTGGCTCAGGGTTAAGGCGTGTTTAGCCTTGGTGCCAATCTGATTAGTGGTTTGTGTTGGGTGTTTTTATACGAGATGTATATTACAATATACAGTTGGTTTGGCTTTGACAAAGCTGGTCTTCAAGAGCCAATTTGTCCTTTAGCAGAGGTTGTCATCTGCATCTAAATCAAGAAAGGAGAAGAATCTCCCAGCAAAGCTCAGTCGTCGAGTGTTTTGTGTATTAAATTGCTGGAAATACATCTGCCAATTTTTCCAAAATGCATGGATCAATATTGCTGGCGGCCATGAAGCAAGGCTTAATCCGTTCCCCCTATTAATAAAGGTCTCCCTAATAATAAATATTTGTTTCGGAAGTCCCAAATCCGGGAATACTACTTTTACAATAGCCAATACTAAACTAATTCTAAAGTAGATATTTTCCTGCCCGTACTCAAATCCAGCCCCATTAGGGGGACCCCGGGGGCACGTTTCCTTTACTACGGCTGTACTACAAAGTTGCGACTTTCGAGCCAGAGCTCCGGGAGCACGTTTCCTTTACTACGGTTGTACTAC